GGCGAATATAGAGTGTATTTTTTTCTATACATATGAATAGGGTAAAATGCCATTTAACTAACGATCGCCGTGCAATTGCGATGACATAGTCGCGCGGTAAAGTGAACTTATATGGAAGTAAATGGCTTGGAAACAAACCAGCATCGCCATTCTTTCCGCATCTTCATCTCTACTTTATAGATCTGTAGCTTCATCGTCATGCCATCCTCCGCATCTCTGTCTCTACCTTATAGATCTGTAGCTACATCGTCGTGCCATCCTCCGCATCCCTGTCTCTACCTTATAGATCTGTAGCTACATCGTCATGCCATCCTTCGCATCCCTGTCTCTACATTATAGATCTGTAGCTACATCGTCATGCCATCCTCCGCATTCCTGTATCTACATTACAGATCTGTAGCTACATCTTTATTCTATCCGCATCCTTGTCTCTACCTTATAGATCTGTAGCTACATTTTTATGCTTTCTCTACCCCATCCAACCCCTCACCCCTCTCTGTATCACCCCATCCTCCCCTCCCCTTCCTCTAGTCTCGGTCACCTCCCCTCCCCCTACCCCCGGTTCCTCCCTCCCTCTACTTTGTCCGTTTTACTCTTTGTAACTATCACTACACATGCAGCCGCAGTCTATACGCCCGCTGACGACAGGGTGGCTATTTGTTATAAAGTTGCTTTTATCTGATGTTTTTATACGTTTACGTCTGACTGAGTACCTGCGCCGTAGGACCAGCAACACGCAGATGTACCGCGCGTTTATAACTAGTGTGTGTGTGTGTGTGTGTGTGTGTGTGTGTGTGTGTGTGTGTGTGTGTGTATGTGTGTGTGTGCGTCGTCAGTGACGTGCGTGCGTCGTACGTGTGCGTCGCGCGTGCGCGCCGCGCGTGCGCGTGCTGTCTGCTCTTGCGTAGTGGCGCGTGGTGTTGCTGTGCTGCGTAGTGTGTCCGAAGAGAAATAAACAATCGGGAGAAACAAATACAGCTCTTGTAGTCTGCCTAATCTTAGCGTTACCTAGCGTTACTTAGCGTTATTAACGCGCTTATAGTTGTTAACTACTACTGTCAATCTACTCCCGCCTAGTTCAATGTTAGTCTAAAACTATATGTGCTTAAATAATAAATATATGTTCGAGAGCTGAATGAATTCACAACTCGGCTCTCCGCCAACAGAAACTCTTACGATTAAAAGCCCACATTATTAGGCGTACATTATGTGAAGCTGATGTCATTATCTAGGTTTATGTTTCGGCAGGCACGTGCCTGAGCAGCGCCATTGATAATTAACCGCCGGGGTATATAATAATATACATATATATATATATATATATAATATCATATATATATATATATATATACGTACAGTGCTGACATTAACGATTCGTTTCCGGAATTTTATGATTGAACCGCGAATTAACGACGAAATCGTTTGAAATTGTTATGCGGCAAATTCATAGAATCGACCATGCAGCGAGAATAAAGATAGCGAGTGAGAGCCGAGCGTCAATACTATTGTTGTGGTTGATACTAGTGTTGATACTAATAATATAGTTGTTACTATATAACAGCAGCGGTCACACCAAGCACATTGGTACAAGTGACTATTATCCCGAAATATCAAGAAGAAACCCGACAGCCTGTCACTAACAACGTAACCTTTCGTCTGCCACTTCGTCGAAATACTAGACCAATTGTTTCGGAGAGAACATGCACACACCTCTGGTCATCTCCCTTGCTGCTTCACCATCATTGAGTAGCCGTTCTGTACCCGGGTATTGTCAGTATACACAGAGACATCTAATCATTGTGTGATCTTCCCCGTAGATGAGTTATCTCGCTAACCCGACGTCGGCAAACGTCAAAAATACGATGGAAAAGCTGCACGCGCACGCGTGAACACGCGTTCACAATTTACTTTCAAATCACGTCGGGAAATTATCGACCGGCTAATGGACGTAATCGATCAGACGTGGCTAAAAGAGTCTATCCCTGCAATTATTACTCAGCACATTTCGCACGCCATTTTCAATGTTAGTTCTAACGAAAAGGAAAGCGGTGACAGTATATTATGATTGCATTGTCAACCATATAGTGATTTCACAGGTGAACATGTTTTTATTGTAGTGAATTAATTCGTAAAAATCTGGCTTGGTGGTTTTAATTCTCATCATTGTCCGCGAATAAAATTTACCGCTATGGTATAATTCGATACAACCCCGACGTTACTCTGAACAATTTTTTTTAGCGCACACACACGCACGCACACACGCACGCACGCACGCACGCACCCACACACACACGCGCACACACATATTTATTTATATATATTTAATTATTTATTTATTTATTTATTTTTTATTTATTTATTTATATATATAATCAAATCAGTAACTCCGGTAACTGTATATATAAACCTAACGTTACCCCGACGAAATATACGACAAAGGTATGTAACCGTGTCGACCCAACAATCTCTGTGTTCTCTTCATCTTTAAGCTACGACTTTCGAATTCTGCCCAGCGAAGAGCCAGGAATCGAAGCGCTGTCCAATAACACCCTCGATCTCTTGATCACGCCGCTGTTACTGACGCCGATGCGAAGAAAGGTGGTCAAATATCTCACCCCGCTGTTTTATTCGTCGAGGGTGTTCGTCATTAAGAAAGTTCCCGTCATAAGGAACGAGCCCGTCAGCGTGCTGCGACCGTTTGACACGCACATATGGATTCTGCTGCTCGGCTTTGCCATGGCGATGCCGCTGCTGTTACGGTGGCTGCCGCGGTCGCGAGACCGCGCCACCGTCGCTGACGTCAGAGAGACCAGAATCGTCTCCCATCTCCGCTACACATTCGGTGCGCTATTCCAACAAGGTAAGACGACAGGTTGCCCTAGGAACTTCCTATGCTAGCCGCTAGATGGCAGCGGTTAAGTTAAATCGCAGACGCACGCACCAGTGTCATATTATGCGAGCGTAAGCTGCTCGTGCCAGTAGTTGTTGACGGAACTCTCTTCGTTGTTCACAGCTAATACTCTAGTTGACAATGTGATTTATATCGCCGCGATGTTTCGATGCAGGCACCACGTTCCTGCCATCGCGGACTCCGGTCCGTATTCTGTACGCCACCTGGTGGATATTTTCGTGCATCGTGGCCGCCACGTACACGGGTACATTCGTCAGCTTGTTCTCCGTCGTTGGCCCGACGCATTACCCGTTCTACTCGACAGAAGAACTGGCAGCGAGCACGGATATAGTTCCAATTATCGTCAGAGGATGGGCAGACGAAGAACGATTGCGCGTAAGTGCATGTTCATTGTTTATAGAGGGCGCAAGTCGCAACGTCGCCGAGCGGTTGTTGGTCGCTCTAGATGGCAGACCTCTCACTCGCAATTTCGTCATCTATTTGACTTCTATTTTATTTTTTCTACGATCTAGATGGCAGTTGACCCACTCGCTCCCAAAAGCTATAACCCTGTTACTTTAATACACTAATATCTATATTTATATCGAGCATCTACATAAGGCTTTATAGGCGAGTGTGTAAAAAAATGAATCGTTGTAGATATCTACGGCTGTGGTTGCATATAGCTTCACGAATAATGATTTTATATATCAATGTTACGCACGCATTTAAAGAGCAGCCCACTTGATTCAACGTATAACCAGCTATGGAAGAAAGTACAAGGAAACAAGGAGGCGAGAACGGATAACACATCAATGGCGCTTGAGATGGTTCTGACCGGGAAGTATACGATGATGAACGATTTTGTGAACAACGAAGTGCTCATGGCTGCCGATTACGGTAAAACTGGACAGTGCAGGTGAGTGTGTGTGTGCGTGTGTGTGTGTGTGTGTGTGTGTGCGTGCGTGCGTGCGTCGTTGCGTCGCGTAGCGCGCGGCGCGTGCCGTGTGTGTGTGTGGGTGTGTGTGTGTGTGTGTGTGTGGTGTGGTGTGTGTGTGTGTGGTGTGTGTGGAGGTGTGTGTGTGTGTGTGTGTGTGTGTGTGTGTGTGTGTGTGTGTGTGTGTGTGTGTGTGTGTGTGTGTGTGTGTGTGTGTGTGTGCGTGCGTGTGTATGTGTGTGTGCGTGTGTGTGCGTGCGTGCGCGCGTCTATAAGTGATGCTATTCCTTTATAATGGCCTATATTATTTTTCCCTATAGGTTTGCACGGGCTCCATTTGAAACCTCACTGGAGCCAATGGCTTGGACTGTGCAGAAAAACAACACGATTTACCCTCTCCTAAACTGGCAGTGAGTAGCTTTACATATATACCTCAAGGAGTGCCCGAGTTGCGAACCCAATTGCAAACTGACGTTCGTAGGTCCTCGTTCGAAACTTGGACTTTACTAGAGGGAATCTTCGTTTGGTTCCTACTGTGTGGACGGCGCATTTTCTAGGGCGCGCACGTGAAGCGTAACAACAACGAACACACTTGTTTGCGTTCTATAAAAAAGCGTTGGTCGTCTCTCTCGTGTCGAAACATTAGTTAGAAGAGCTTTGATCAGACAACGATGAATCGAAAATTATCACTATGTGCATTTGCTAAGTAGCTTCAACTGTCATCGGCTGAACACTAATGACTTAGTGGGTCATACCACGAATAGCGCATACGCAAGCCCCCTGATCAGTTCGATTTTCTGCCCGCGTTTCAGGATACGTACGATCATAGAGACGGGTCTCCTGCAGAAGTGGGGAGCGCCGGTCCTACAGAGCGGATTCGCAGCGTGCTCCGAGCTGGACGCGGCGTCGGTCGCTGCCAGGCAGATCAGCTTGCGACAGATGCTGCCGGTCTTCGTGATGCTGTTGGCGGGCGTCGCCGCCGGCCTGCTGCTTCTCCTAGCGGAGATTGTCGGCAAGAAGCTGAAACATAGACGGGCGCAGACGAACGTCTCGTCGCTGCCGAAAGCTTGACCGTGATTGTTATATGACCGCTTATCGCAGGTGACCGCCTATCACAGGTGACCGGCTATCACAGGTGGCCGGCTATCTCAGGTGACAGGCTATCGCAGGTGGCCGCCTATCCTAGGTGACCGCTTATCACAGGTGACCGCCTATCACAGGTGACCGCCTATCATAGGTGACCGGCTATCACAGGTGGCCAGCTATCACAGGTGACCGGCTATCACAGGTGACCGCTTATCACAGGTTGCCGCCTATCACAGGTGACCGGCTATCGCAGGTGGCCGGCTAT